CCCCGGGGGCCGGGGCGCCTCGCTCACCCGCACGCCCTTCACCACCGTGATATTCTCGTTCTCATCCGCCTCGAAGGTGACGCGCCGGGGGCTGCTCCCGCCGCCGCCCATCACGCCATGCCACGACCGGGGACAGCACCAAGGAGACTCGCGGTCTCGTCTGCCAGCTCACCCCGCCCCAACACCAGCCACCATTGGCCGGTCGCCGGCTACGCCCCGCCTCCCCCCGCTACAAGCCTCCTTCCCATTGGCTACCCCGCGGGCACCATGGAAACCGCCCGGGAAAGGCAAAGGGTCCGGAAACTTTCTCCGCCGAAAACTTCCAGCGGGCGGACCCCTACACATCCCAGAATGCACCGCGCCACGACTCCGCGGCCAAAAGCGGGGAGAGACCCGCAGTGCAGGTTGGGCCGCGCAGTCCCGTGGAACGCTGAGCAGTGCATGCTGGGAGCGATAAAGTGGCCCTGCGCCTGCATGGCACGCTGGGAAATGTAGTTCACTTGAGTTGCCCGGCTCCCATTGGCCGGTCCCTGCGGGGCTGGAAGGTCCCCCAGGCCTGAGGCAAAGGGCTCTGGGACATGGCCTCAGGGGCTGGGGGAGTGAGGGGCCAAAGACTCCTGCAGGGCCTGTCCCCACCCTCCAGGGCAAAGGGCTCCCTGGGAGATGGGGGTCCCCCAGCGCCTACCCCATTGGCCAGCGCTAGGAGGGGGTGGATGGGAGGGCTGCCAGATGGTTTAACAAAAAATACCGACCCCCCCCCCAAAAGAAAACACCCGGAAAAAATTCTGTCGAGGGGGAAAAAAGGGTGTGGGGGGGAGACCAAACCTGTTAAGCAAAAGTTGCACCGCTCCGTCCAGTTTGGCACCCAGCCCTCTCCCTGAGCCAGGCTCCCCCTCCGGCCCCCCCATCCCAATGCACTCACCCCTGTCTCAGAGCCAGGCTCCCCTACTGCCCCCCATCCCAATGCACTCACCCCTGTCTCAGAGCCAGGCTCCCCTACTGCCCCCCATCCCAATGCACTCACCCCTGTCTCAGAGCCAGGCTCCCCTACTGCCCCCCATCCCAATGCACTCACCCCTGTCTCAGAGCCAGGCTCCCCTACTGCCCCCCATCCCAATGCACTCACCCCTGTCTCAGAGCCAGGCTCCCCTACTGCCCCCCATCCCAATGCACTCACCCCTGTCTCAGAGCCAGGCTCCCCTACTGCCCCCCATCCCAATGCACTCACCCCTGTCTCAGAGCCAGGCTCCCCTACTGCCCCCCATCCCAATGCACTCACCCCTGTCTCAGAGCCAGGCTCCCCTACTGCCCCCCATCCCAATGCACTCACCCCTGTCTCAGAGCCAGGCTCCCCTACTGCCCCCCATCCCAATGCACTCACCCCTGTCTCAGAGCCAGGCTCCCCTACTGCCCCCCATCCCAATGCACTCACCCCTGTCTCAGAGCCAGGCTCCCCTACTGCCCCCCATCCCAATGCACTCACCCCTGTCTCAGAGCCAGGCTCCCCTACTGCCCCCCATCCCAATGCACTCACCCCTGTCTCAGAGCCAGGCTCCCCTACTGCCCCCCATCCCAATGCACTCACCCCTGTCTCAGAGCCAGGCTCCCCTACTGCCCCCCATCCCAATGCACTCACCCCTGTCTCAGAGCCAGGCTCCCCTACTGCCCCCCATCCCAATGCACTCACCCCTGTCTCAGAGCCAGGCTCCCCTACTGCCCCCCATCCCAATGCACTCACCCCTGTCTCAGAGCCAGGCTCCCCTACTGCCCCCCATCCCAATGCACTCACCCCTGTCTCAGAGCCAGGCTCCCCTACTGCCCCCCATCCCAATGCACTCACCCCTGTCTCAGAGCCAGGCTCCCCTACTGCCCCCCATCCCAATGCACTCACCCCTGTCTCAGAGCCAGGCTCCCCTACTGCCCCCCATCCCAATGCACTCACCCCTGTCTCAGAGCCAGGCTCCCCTACTGCCCCCCATCCCAATGCACTCACCCCTGTCTCAGAGCCAGGCTCCCCTACTGCCCCCCATCCCAATGCACTCACCCCTGTCTCAGAGCCAGGCTCCCCTACTGCCCCCCATCCCAATGCACTCACCCCTGTCTCAGAGCCAGGCTCCCCTACTGCCCCCCATCCCAATGCACTCACCCCTGTCTCAGAGCCAGGCTCCCCTACTGCCCCCCATCCCAATGCACTCACCCCTGTCTCAGAGCCAGGCTCCCCTACTGCCCCCCATCCCAATGCACTCACCCCTGTCTCAGAGCCAGGCTCCCCTACTGCCCCCCATCCCAATGCACTCACCCCTGTCTCAGAGCCAGGCTCCCCTACTGCCCCCCATCCCAATGCACTCACCCCTGTCTCAGAGCCAGGCTCCCCTACTGCCCCCCATCCCAATGCACTCACCCCTGTCTCAGAGCCAGGCTCCCCTACTGCCCCCCATCCCAATGCACTCACCCCTGTCTCAGAGCCAGGCTCCCCTACTGCCCCCCATCCCAATGCACTCACCCCTGTCTCAGAGCCAGGCTCCCCTACTGCCCCCCATCCCAATGCACTCACCCCTGTCTCAGAGCCAGGCTCCCCTACTGCCCCCCATCCCAATGCACTCACCCCTGTCTCAGAGCCAGGCTCCCCTACTGCCCCAGCCTGGCTGCCTCGGCTCGCATTGTAGAGAGAGGGAGGCATCACATGGCCAGCTCCCGGTCTCTGCTAGTCACGTGGGCCAGAGCAGTGTGTACTCCGCTCCCAGCCCAGCCCGGAGCCCCCCTGGCATGGAGCCCGGCAAGTGCCCTCTCCTGTTCCCCCTTCACTAGACTTTGCGGCGCTCCTCACTCCCCTGCATCAGGGGAAAATTGTCCCCCCCGGGCTTCTGTCCCAGGGAAACAGGAAATACCGGACATTACACATGTCCAGTATTTCCTGGGTTTTTTTTTTTTTTTTACCAGACAAGGCCCGCAAATACCGGACTGTCCAGGTGAAAACCAGACACCTGGCAACGCTAATGGATGGGCACAGAGTAGGGTTCCCAGGTATCCTGTTTTCAGCCAAAACATCCAGTGGAAAACTGGGAGACAGGGCATCAAAATGACAGGTGAAACTTAACCTTGATAAATGCAAAGTAATGCACATGGAGAAACAATCCAAACTTTACATATCAAATGATAGGGTCTACATTCGTTGGCACCCCTTAAAAAGAGAGAGAGGTTTTGGAGTCATTGTAGATAGTTCTCCGAAAACATCCACTCAGTGGGAAACAGCAGTAAAAAAAGCCAACAGACCTTGGGGAAGGCTCCGTGTTCCATACTCTCCCCCTTGCTGAGCCAGTCAGTCTCCACGCTAGACTGAATCGCAACCAGCATCCGCTGCTGAGACAGGCCGTTTCCCCTGTGCCCCAGTTCCCCACAGTGCCCCCTGCAGGGAGAGGCTGGGATTGGGGAAGCTGGACATTCCCCCTGCTCCTGACTATGTTCCTCACAGTGCCCCCTGCAGGAGAGGCTGGGACTGAGGTAGGCATGAAGCTGCTGAATCAGATCTGGTCAAGCTTTTATGCACCTGCTTCATATTAGCAGCCCTACTAAAGGCAAAGAATGCAACCCAGGGGTCCTGGCTACCAGTCGGTTTGGCTCAGACCTCAGCAGTCCCTTCCCCTTCCACAGGTGGGGCTAGAACCCAGGAGTCCTGGCTCCCAGCCAGCCCCCCTTCTAAAGGGTAGAATACCACCTCCGTGTGCAGCCAAATGTAGCAGCCCCTGCTGTTGCCAGGCAGATGTGGATTGAAGTCAGCGGCCGGCTGAGCCTTTATCTCTCTTGGGGTATGTCTACACTACCCCGCTAGTTCGAACTAGCGGGGTAGTGTAGACATACCCTAAGAGAGGGGTACATAATCAAACAGAAACTATCATACTGCTTCTGTGTAAATCCATGGTATGCCCACATCTTGAATAGTCTATGCGGATGTGGTTGCCTCGTCTCAAAAAAAAATATTGGAACTGGAAAAGGTACAGAAAAGGGCAACAAAAATGTTGAGAGGTATGAAACAGATTCCATATGGGGAGAGATTAATTAGACTGGGACTTTTCACCTTGGAAAAGAGATGACGGAGGAGGACACATAACTGAGATCTATAAAACCATGACTGGTGAAGAGAAAATATATAAAGAAGTGCTTTTACTCCATATAACACAAGAAGTAAGGGGTCACCAAATGAAATTAATAGTCAGCAGGTTTAAATCAAAAGGAAATATTTCTCCATACAACACACAGTCAACCTGTGGAGCTCCTTGCCAGAGGATAGTGTGAAGGTAAAGACAATAGCAGGGTTCAAGAAGATAAATTAACGAAGGATAGGTATTAGCCAGGGTGGACAAGAATGGTGTCCCTAGCTTCTGTTGGCCAGAAGCTGGGAATGAGTGACAGGGAATGAATCACTTGTTGATTACCCATTCATTCCCTTCGAAGCACAGGGCATCAGCCGCTGTCAGAGGAGTCTTCGTTCTGACCCAGTATGGCCATTTTTATGTTCTTAGGACTGGCAGCTCTGATGAGCATTGCTGATGGGACCATGAAAAGTTTGGCTGTCTAGGCAGGTGCAGAGAGACTGGCAGACTCTGCCTGGCTCCGTGTGGCTCCTGGAAGCAGCCAATATGGTCCTCTGCCTCGATGGCAGCTAAGATACTCTGCACGCTGTCCTACCCCTCTTTCCCCCCCGCCACCCTGAGGGCCAGCTGCACAGCTCCATTGGCTCCCATTTGGTGAAGCCAACATTCAGAGCATCCCTGAGCTGGAGGGACGTCAGCCTCTTCCAGGAGATTGCTGAAGCAAGTGTCACCTATTGCCTGCCCTCTTCACCCTCTCCTACACCCTAACCTCCTGCTCTAGCTCTGCGTCTCCTCCTGCCTCTAAACTTCTTCCAAGAGCCTGCACCACCTCCCACACCCCAAACCCTTACTCCAACCCAGAGGCCCTCTCAAACCCTGAACCCCACAGTCCCACCCCCTATCCTGGAGCCCCCTTCTTCACCTCAAACCTTGTCCTTGCTGGTGAAAATGAGCGACAGAGCAAGGGTTGGGAAGGGCAAGTGATGTGGGGGTGGGATGGAGTGAGCAGGGGTGGGGCCTTGGGAAAGTAAATGGGGCAAAGGCTCCATTTTCTGAAATTAGAAAGCTGGCAACCCTAGAACAGGGTGTCCTGAAATGGTCCTCTCC